TTCCATATAAGGAAGCAGAAATGATTTTCCTTAATGCGTAAGGTTACAAGGAATGTACGAATGTGCCTTTTTACTCCAAATCTATGTTGGTATAAAACGTAAGAGCGCATAGTTTTGCGTGTCCTTTTCATCATAATGTGATCCTGATAAGCTGTGCCGGAATTGTCCGGAGTCTTGTCCATTCCCCTCCCGTAAGGAGCTTGGACGTCAATTGTTAGCAATACCAGCCTACATTTAATAAACCTGTTTAGAACGTCTGATGGCTTATGACTGCAATTATTTCAAGCTAAATACAACACTAATAACAGGGTTGGAGCCCTGTTATTACATATATATATATATATCATATCAACCATTTTCAGCATTTAAGTAACATTTGGATATAGAAACTTACTTATTTTAACTACAGGCTTTAATTAAAAAGTAGCTAATTCAAACTTTCATGCTTTAATAACAATGGCTTTAGCAATAAAAAAAATTTGAAAATAATAATTAATTTTAAATCATATGTTTTATTCAAATCAACTTATTTTAATAATTTTTATCAACTAAATAAAAAATGAAAATGGTTAACATTTGGGCATAAAAACAAAGTGACTGTGATCGGGGGCTGGTTGGCTAAAAAATGATGACTTCAGAGATGCCCGAAAGAAAAAAACTAATTTTTATCCGCCAATTTTTACCACTAAAAAGGGAAATGACACAAAATTGTTCAACATGAAAAACACTCTAATTTTCAGTGTAGTGCTTCATTTTTTATAAACCTGAGCTATTAGCTGTCACTCTCTCTCTTTCTTTTTTCGTTGACAACATTTTCTTGTACAAATGGAGAAGGATTCAAATCTTCCGTGATTTTTGAGACTCTCTTCGTAAATTTGTGTAAATTTTTAAAACTATTAATCAATTAGTTGAACTAATTTTTGATTCTTTAAATTCAATGTACCTTTCATACAAAACAATTTTATAATTAATTTAAAAAAGGAAATTATTTGCTATCGCCAACTCGTAAAAGAAAGCTAACCCTTGTTTCACGTCACTTGTTAAGCAGTTAATTATTATCAATAATTTAAAAAAAAAACGAAAAAAATATATAAATTAATTTTTGTTTAAACTCAAACAGCTAAAGTATCATTTTTGGAATTTGTGTATTTGCTTTGAAAGTTTAGTATAGTGCATGAACTTATACACCCTCACGTTGAAAAT